CAAGCTGGTGAGCAACATGCCAGAGGGCAAAACGAGCGCAGAGAGCAGTGAAACCAATGCAGCAGCTGGAGCAGCAGCTAGTGACACTCCAGACAAAGGCATGTCCAGTGGGGATGCCAGCACAAGCAAAGAAGCAGCGGCAGCGAGTGCAGGTGCCGGTGTGAATGCTAAAGCTCGTGCGAACCTACTGAGCGGGTTGAAAGACGGCTCGCTTGACAAGCTGGTGAGCAACATGCCAGACGAGGGCAAAACAGGCGCAGAGAGCAGTGAAGCCAACGCAGCAGCAGGAGCAGCAGCTGGTGACCGCGCTGACAAAGGCTTGTCCAATGCTGATAGCAGCGCAAGCAAGGCAGCCGCAGGTCCAGATGCCGATGCGAAGGTTCAAGCTGACAACAGATTACCACGCGTGCTTGGAGATGGCGCTGCTGTTTCCATTCCGGCTACCTCAGCTGGTGATGTAAAGGCGATGACTACGCATAGCACATAAGCCAAGTCGCAGCACGCTTTATCTATACCTCATCTCTTGAACCCAAGACCCTACGCCACGAACCTCACGGGTAGATAGATTTTGTAGTTTAGAGAGTTCTTGCATATTTTTGGAATGGCAGGAGTTGTCTGAAAGTCTTGCACAGTCTTCCATGTAGACTGAAGTCTGTGCCAGCCCAGAATCAACAAGTGGCGGTGGGCTAAGAGCCTCAAGCATTCGCAGCATCCAACACACTGCATGGCCTCATGTACTTGGATCAGCACCAGGAAAACACGTGTTTCCAACGCATCCTGAAACTGGACAAGTAGCGCTGCACAGGTCCACCTTGCACCCGGAGTCACGACAGACCAAGCCGAGACGGGAGGCTAATGCTCAATGCAGGGGTCGTTCAGGGGGTTTCGGGGCGGGCGTGGTGTGCAGCGCATAGCTTTGGGGATCGACAAGGGAGCTTCTAAAATGAGGTACCAGCATATGAAGACCTTCGATGCCGACTTCACTCTACATCCCATTTCTCGTGCGGCACTTCCGAGCCTGTTGTAACGCTCACTGCCACAGTGCTGTGCATACTCTGGGATAGCGCCGCGTGGAAATCGTGCGTCCGCCATTAGTGTGTGCTCATCTCAACCCTAAACCCTGGCTTTCGGGTTTCTGGACATCGCTAGACAGTCCTTGCAGCTCCACTTATTCGGCTCCTCGGAACTGCTTGTTGCAGTCTCGACTTTCTGCCGTTAATGCTGTTGAGTCATGCTCCTTCTACAAGACGCATAGTTCGGGGTGCGCCGTTTCCCCTTAACAGTCCAGTGCGTCCGCGCCTCCCGAAATCGTGCTCCAGCCACAGCGCCGTGTGCATTTAGGGTATGTTACTGATATAGATTGGCATCCTTTTACATCCATGGTGCAGCATGGGAATCCATCGTATAAGCAACCATGGGGAATGCCTAACATAACTAACCATAGTTCTAAACTCCACATAGCTACTAAGAGTGGAGAAGGTTTTCAAGCTGTGGTAGGGCTGCTTCACAATGGATTCTTGTGAAATTTCGGGATGAGCACTCCTCCTAGAGCCCTGACGCATGTATAAATCCCTGTCCTTACGGCTGTGAATAACCCTAAACCCTAAACCCTACCTTAAACCCTAAACTCTAAACCGTGAAATTGTGTTCGCTATTATAATTCGGGCTATTAATGACTCAAGGCTCTTGCCTCCCCTGAACCCGTAAAAACCTATAGAACTACCTTAACCTACCAAAACCGACTTGTTTGTAGGGTCCCTATACTTCCCATATTAGGGTTTATATTAAGAACCTTCAAAAAAAGTGGGTTTTGGTAGGTTAAGGCGGCTAAGGTACTACAGGGCTCGGAATGACTACTAGTAACTTACTAGTAACAAGCCCTTGTCGTCCCTATGCAGTCATACTATACATTCCCAAACCCTGTTCTTCGAAAGGTTTTCCAGTCCTGACACGCTCAACCCACAACCCCTCTATCCTAAACCTTAAACCCCTAAACCTATGTTACATCTGTCCAGAGGCATGTCTCCTACTGCCTCTTCGCCTCGAGGCGCGGTTCTTGCTTTGGGCTGCTGCAATTGCTGCCCTAATAGTATATATATATATATACATACACTTTGGCCCTAGAGTAGTCCCTTTGTCGGTACTTCGGGGTCTCCAGTGGTAATCAGGGGTTTAGGGTTGTCGGGTTTGGGTTTATGGCTTGTAAGGGTTTAAAGTTACCCCGGGATCTGGGTGTCGGGGTCTATACAGGGATTATCTGGCCTAGGGTCCCTAAACACAAAACGCTCAGGTTGGGCCGCCTCATGTCATTGCCCTACTCGTTCAACATCAGAATCAGCCATCCCAGCATTTTGCAGCCACCAGGACTGCCTTCCAGCGAGTCGAAGGTGTCGATCGCCTAAACTACTATCAACCCTTATCAACCCTTAACCAGGAAACTCGTTACAAGTAAGTTCTACACCCTTGGCGCCTGCCACCACGTTGGTGCACAACCTCAGCGTGAGGATTGTAACCCCGCCTGCACGCTGCTACTTGTCGTCCGATTGTAATCTTAGGGTGTGATTTGTAGACTCCTCAAGCCTTATTGACCAGAGGGCTCGTACGCAGCTTAAGTTTCCTGTCAAGCAAGTTCCAGTGAGTTCTTGCTGACTACTGCATTCATGGACAAGTCGTTTCGTTCGCGCGTGGGCTTGTAAAGCGCGGTAAACAACTGCAAACCCCAAACCCAACCTGTACCAGTTTGCAGGGCCCTGTAGCCCTACACAGACACTCAAATGAAGATCCCTCTTCATAAACGACCCTCCATTGACAAGCCTTAAAAAAACGTGCGCTTATTGCACTGGCCACTAGTCGGTCAAGAAAGCTTGACATCTTGCATCGCATTAGAGACGCCTACATGCTTACTAATCCTATTCCTTAGGGCTCCTTCTTAAAACTACAAAGGAGCCCAAAACCCTATTCCAAGGGCTCCTTCTTAAAACTACACAGGAGCCCAAAACCCTATTCCAAGTATTAAGGCTCGTAATCCATCAGGTGGCTGCCGTTTTGTTGTAAGTTTTGTTGGTTTTCAAATTTTGTGGATCCGGAACGCCAGGCAGCGGGGACAATGGCGAGCCTGGGGAACCCAAACAGGCCCTTCTGCGCGCTTTGGGGTGTACGGCTTGGAATTCAGAGTTTTGAGTTGAGTGCAAAGGTTTGTCTGAGTCTATCTATCGCATCCATTGGAAAAGAGATCTGAAAGGTCCTAATCCCTAAACTGAAGCATAAAAGCTGGTTAGCCAATCAGAGGAACTACATCTGAGAACATCATTATCGTGTGTAGATCAAGCCCTCCTCACGATTTCTTCGGCAACTCCGTCTGACATGTAACACGAGAGAGTTTGGTAACAAGGGTTTAGGATTTGGGGTTCAGAGGCGTCTGGTAATTCAGGCAAGAAGCTGTTGCTTGAAGTTGCGGTCTGGGCACTCTCCTAAAGCATGCCTGTACCGCCGTTCCGAAGTACCTTTCGACAGTCGTCTGAGTTCTGGGCATGTGTATTGAGACCCAAACCCGTGTCTCAGAAACGAACAGCACTTCGCCGCTTGTCGCTACTTCAGGGGGGCTTCAGAAACCTTTGGTGGTAGCTGCCGCCTGCCACCCCAAATCCGCCAAACCCTACCCAGATAGCGAACTCCAAACCCCACAAGCCTACGTGCTCTAAAGGAAAAGTTTACCACTGAGGGCTATCGGGAATAGGAATTAGGGTTCTGGGTTCTTGAGGCATACCCTTAGGCCGCATAGTGGTTCCTTTTTGGGACTACCTTATAGGATTCTAAATATGAGCCCCAAAAAGGAACTACTATGGGCCTATGGGTACGGTTTTTTTCCGAAATGCCTTGGCACGCTTGGGAGTCTGCTCTGCGGTCGTTTTCCTTCCTTCTGTCTTCGGTACAGGCGACGGTGGCCTCGCGCCATTTATAGTGGCAGCAGTAGTAGTAGTAGTAGGAGTAGTAGTAGTAGTAGTAGTAGTAGTAGTAGTAGTTGAAGGTTTAGGGTTTTTGGCGTTGGGGCAAGTCGGGTTTAGGTGGCAGAGCCATGACGGGCTATGTGGTGTGTTGCACCGGGTTTGGGACTGACGACGGAGGGTAGTTAGGGCCAATGGAGCTTTAGCCGTCATCTAAATTCTAGATTGGCATACCGATATGGGGTTGAAGTGCCTACACATATCGCACCACAAACACCGAAACTTGCGCCCCCCAAATTCGAAGGTCTACTGGCCTGAGGGTTTTGAACTCTAGTTCAAAGCCTTGACAAAGCCTAGCACCTAACATAGAGGCCCATATAATTACCTATACTGTTCTTAGGGTTCCTTTTGATAGTTATACCATATAGGAGCCCAAGACCTGATTCGAATTATTAAGGCCCCTACATTAGCAGAAACCCCTCATCTTCAAGTCTTCAACCCTTCAAAGCCCTGTCTGAGAGGACCTCCGGAGTCTGAGAAGGAAGACACGGCAGTCACGATTTCAGCAGGTGTCCCTTGAAGTGGCATTGGCTGTTTTAGGGAATTTTAGGGTTTCGGGTATAGGGTTAGGGTGTAGGGTATTAGGGTTTGTAGGGTTCCAATCAAGCTTGTGAAGAAAAGAGGGTTTGGGGTTGATTGTTTTGTCTGGGGTGTAGCAGTTTAGCGTTTCGCGAATAACTTGGACAGTTGGGGGCGCAGTGCATCCGGGTTCCTGTAAAGGTGCTTGTCGTAACAAGGCTGTACTACTTGTCCAAGGACCCGACGATTTAAAGCCCGGCTTCGCCAAATCCAATCCCCACCTACTGATCTCCAAAGCCTTGACCATGAGTGAAAGCTTAACTCTTATACGAACCCTGTACTGCTTTAGTAGCAAGGCATCGTAAGAGGGCTGTCGGTGTCCATGTATCCTTCAGCCTCGGCCAGACCCCAGCAGATTTCGGTCAGCTGCAAGAGGTACGTAGGGTTCGTGGCAGGCCACCCTGAAGCGTGGCAAGAAGCCGGCTTACGATTTGAGATCTGTTGTTCAACTTGTGGGGTGCCCTTCCTGTCAGGGTTTAGGTAGAAGGACGTTATGAGTTTGGTTTGCCTCAGCCTCGTAAAATGGATTACCCCTGCATGCTGCGAGGCATCGATATCTGAGGGAGGGTTTACAGCAGCATATGTGACAATGTGGGGCTCCTTGGGTATAGTCGTGAGTGCATGTGTGGTGTGTACTTGTGAGGACACTCCTAATAAGAGACATCTTCTTTATGTCATTTTCGAGGACCTCAAAACCTCAACCCCATAGCCCACGGAGTTCGAAACCCTTCAAACCCTGTAAACCCATAAGCCCTGAACCTTCACCTTCTTTGGGGTTCGTTATTGGGTGTCACGAATAACATTGCATTGTCTGTCATAGTAGCGGTCCAAAGGACTATTAAAGGTGACATGTCTACGCCGTACCTAAGGAGCTTTCGATAAGATAAGCCCGAAGGATTCTGTAACAATCAATATGGCGGTTGTAGTCCCTAGACCATAAACCTTAAACCCAGAACCCTGAACCCGGGTTCAGGGTTC